CGCAACAAACCAAGTAATTACGGTACCGCCCCTAGTGTGAACACTCGCAGTATATAAACAACCTCGTCCTGCTTGAATAATTACTGCGAGTGTTCACACTAGGGGCGGTACCGTAATTAACCAACTCTTTAAGTGTGAAACTCTTTAAGTGTGAATGCAACAAACCAAGTAATTACGGTACCGCCCCTAGTGTGAACACTCGCAGTATATAAACAACCTCGTCCTGCTTGAATAATTACTGCGAGTGTTCACACTAGGGGTGGTACCGTAATTACTTGGTTTGTTGCGTTCACACCTAGCAGCAAGAAAGAAATAATCTAAGACAACTAACCTAGCAGCAAGAAAGAAATAATCTAGCAACAAAAGACAACTAACCTAGCAGCATCAGACAACTAACCTAGCAGCAAGAAAGAACTAACCTAGCAACAAATAACAACTAACCTAGCAATAAAAGACAACTAACCTAGCAACTACAGATAACTAACCTAGCAACAAAAGACAACTAACCTAGCAGCAAGAAAGAAATAACCTAGCAACTTAAGACAACTAACCTAGCAGCATCAAATAACTAACCTAGCAGCAAGAAAGAAATAACCTAGCAACAAAAGACAACTAACCTAGCAGCCTCAGACAACTAACCTAGCAGCAAGAAAGAACTAACCTAAGAAAGAAATAACCTAGCAACAAAAGACAACTAACCTAGCAGCATCAGACAACTAACCTAGCAGCAAGAAAAAAATTACCTAGCAACAAAAGACAACTAACATAGCAACAAAACTCAACTAACCTAGCAGCTACAAATAACTAACCTAGCAAGAAAGAAATAACATAACAAAAGACAAATGGTCAACGGTCAACGTCGGAAGTCAACGCCGGAAGTCAACGATTTTCGCCGGAAGTCAACGGTCAACGCCGGACCGTGCAGCAAGAAAAAAATAACCTAGCAACAAAAGACAACTAACCTAGCAACAAAACTCAACTAACCTAGCAGGTACAAATAACTAACCTAGCAAGAAAGAAATAACATAACAAAAGACAAATGGTCAACGGTCAACGTCGGAAGTCAACGCCGGAGTCAACGGTCAACGCTGGAGTCAACGGTCAATGGTCATAATAATATTTAAATAATTAAAAATAAAGAATTAAATAATAAAAATAAAGAATTATTATTTAAATCAAGATCTAAATCTTGTGGCTAGGAATGAGTCTCACGTCCTCACTTTAAATAATGGAATGCATTGGAACCAATCCCTATATATATATATATATATTTGTTCTCACTTTAAATAACTTAATATATATATATATATATATATATATATATATATCCTAGTCGGCTATTCTGACCCGAGTTTAATCTGCAATTGTAATATATTAGTTGCTTTTTTGTCGGCCTCAAATGATTATTGTACCAAATTTGACAAATCTAACATTATCGTTGGTCATTCAAAGATTGGTGGATGGAGATTTGTTGCTGTGATGTTTCAGATTGCCTAAGGAAAAGGATGGAGCTATCAACTTACCTACTATGGTGGCTCTGGAAAACCAGGAACAATTGGATTTTCAGAGGTGAATTATTAAATGAGAGGGAAACAGTGTGGAGGGCTTTGGAGGAGTGGGGGGAATTTCAGAAAATCTCTACCCCAGATGCTAGTATGGTAGGGCTTCATAGTATTGGAGTCAGTGCCTATTCAACTAGTGCTGATGGAGCAAGGTTCTTGGGGTTGGCTTGGGCTGGTACATCCATAGTGCAACAATGGGAACAAGTAAGAGAGGCAATTTCTGATCCTATGGAGTTGTATTTGATGGCAATTAAATGGGTTCTGGGGCAGGCTGCTAATATTAATTGGAGAGAGTTTGTTCTTAAGGTAGATGCTAAAGATGTTGTGAACAAGCTGCACAGCAGAGAATTTGATGGTCACCTACTCCCAATAACTGAGGACATCTACAGATTGTTAGATTCTCTCCAATGTAGTGACTTTACTTTTTATGTTAATATTAGTTGATCTTTTGTTTTTGTACCCTGTGTGGTGTTGGAGGGGGAGGACCTGTGGTGTTACTCCCCCCACTAAGCTATGTTGCTGTTCTGTAATAGTTAGCTTGGACTTGAGCTCAGTTGAGCTTTCGAATGTATATTTTTCTGAGTGAAATATATTTTATCCTTTTGCCGTGAAAACTTACAACAAAGAACATTTGTACGTAATTTTAATATAAATTCAAAATTTTACTAACAATTAATTATACCACATTTTTTAAAATTAACTATGATTAATAAGAAAACCAACAAAAACAAGTCAACTTCATATTCAGTCACATCCTTAATATTCCATGGAATGTAAAATAAAATTAGCAGTCCGTGAGCTCTAGCTTGCTTCTTTTCATAAACAAGACGACCTCGAACTTGTTTAGTTAACTAGAGTGTGGAGCAGACCTATAAGCTAGTTAAATCTAAAATAAAGGATTTTACGTAATATAATGAATTTTTAATATTTTTTATCGTTAAAATTGATGTTCAGTTTGTTATATTATTGAACGAGCTTGTTCTCGTCAGCTCGATAAAAATTTGAACTCAACTCTAAATGTTTATATCTCTAATTATTCTTTCATCAACCTTTTAGGTGGATAAATGCAAAATCAAATTTATAGAGTTAGTAGATAAAATTTAATAAGTATGATGAGTCTATCGCTGCCTCGTTGATATGGTTGAACCGTTTTAGAATTTATGGTAAAAATAATTCTAGTCATCCATTTAAATACGATTAGTAGACAATATAAGTTTTTATTTTCAACACCAAAATATAAATTATACTTGGCCCTAATCTGGTATATATCAAAAATTAGGAAAAATTAAAAACTATGAATTTTTTGATAAGGTGAGTGTAAAATAGATGACGTCCATTTGAAGCGATTTTGAGCCACCTCGATCTTCCTACATGGCTACGTGTCTTCTCCACACAAAAATCCTGCGTCCCATAAAACGGATCTCGTCATCCAAACCGATAGCCTTGCAAATACACATCGCCGCTAACCTGTTTGATAAAAAGCCCCAAAGAAAAAAATAAAATAATAATAATTGATCCAATAGACCCAACATGGCCTCGAGCGATCAAACCCCCGGCCCTATGCCGCCCGGTGACGGCTCTGTGCCTCCGGGACAGCCCATGACGGTGGGCCAGCATATTCTGGACAAGGGGGCCCAAATGCTGCAAACCCTCAAGCCCATCAAGAGCATGAGCCAGCACGTTTGTACATTTGCTGTTTATAGCCACGACATGACCCGACAAATGGAGACCCACCACTATGTGACCCGACTGAACCAAGACTTCTTCCAGTGTGCCGTTTACGATTCTGATGAGTCCACCGGTCGCCTCATTGGTAAATTGGTTAATTAGTTTTATTCTACAGAAAATTACTGCTTATGTGTATGTGTATTTATCTGTGACAATCTTTCT